CAGAAAACCAGCGTGAAGTAGAGGTTTACCTCTGCGTTTCGCTTGGTGAGTGCAGGTGGCCGGAGGCCCTTTTTACTGGAAATGAGGCATTCCATCTTAGTCCTCACGGGTGACAACGCATCTACATTTTGATTTGTAATAGAGGATAGATGTAGATGTCTATGGGCCGCAGCAACCACTTACCATCAGGTGGACTGTGTGCTCGTTTGTCACCCTTATCGTATAAAAAAAACGTTTCTTCCAGTTCCAGACACGCATCTCACCAGTCGATCTACAACATCAAACGGCCTGTTACTCATTGCATAAGGACTGTCATCAGGCTGTTTCCCACAGTAAATTTCTAAATTAAGTGTATAAAATGTTTTAGCAACCAACCAGAGCGTAAATTTTCAAATCATACTTGGCCGGTTTCGAAGAAATATATTGTCGAAAAGCACATCTTCCTCTAAATGCCCCGAGCTCTACGTCTATAGTCAAGTTCAAACGGTGTGTAGAAATGCTGACAGTTTTTGACGAAAATTTCAAAAATATCTCGAATTGTTGGTGCCAAGCGATCGACAGCTGTTCTTGCTGTACGAGTTGACGAATCATCAAATCTCAACTTATTTCCTATAAATATGAATCTATGTCTCGTCATAGTATTTCTAAATATTTCAATTCCAGTACTGTCTTTACTCCATAAGTCTATAAGATTTTGTCTGCCAGACCTAAATAAACCTGCCAAAAACAACAACCCAAATACTGCTTTTATCTCAGCTTTGTTGGTTTCTCCGTGTACTGTAGAGGTTTCCCTTCTCATGAAAATTTTCTGGTTGGTGTACTTCAAAATTATGTCGACAATTTCACCATTGAAAATTGTCTCAAAGCAATCCAAGTGAGTTTTTTTATGTTGGGCTGCACTTCTGCACCCCAACAAATGAGTAATAATATTGACTGCACTAGTAGGAACATTCGTACGTGGTGAAGATTTATACCACTTTGTTCTTCCATCTTTTCCTAGAAAAAATTGTTGTGATATCGACGTTGTGTCTTCTACTGTAGCTTCAATGTTCAACTCACCTTCAGAAGCTTCGCTGATATGGTCAAGTTCGTCCACGCTACTAGCGAGAAATGTCACTGTCCGACGATGACTCATATTCCTCCAGTAACAATGCCGCAATACGATCATCATTCATGCACCTATAATAAATACAATATAGTATTAATAAAATACCCATTGTAGGTGTAAATAACATGAAACAGAAGAAAGCCATATTTACTTTTTAACAACGTCCTGTATAAAGTGGGGTTAAAAATGCCCGGGAACCACTTTATGCGCGTGCATACACGACTGCGGTGCGCGGGGAACTGAAACATGCCTGTTAATCGACGTGGCAGAGTTTAAACTTCAGCTACTGAGAAAATAGAATCATTTGGTTGTGTTTTAAGATGAAATCATTGCATTTTAAAAATGTTGGGGTTAAAATAACCCCACGTGGTACGCCGAAGGTTAAGAAAACCACGAAGTATGTTGTTACTACGGATTATTCTAAAGTGATCCATCTCGTCTTCATGTGTTATGTATGTGCATTAAGTTTTCTTGTTAAACATGGACAACGAACTCTTATATTTTATGTATATTATTAACTTTTTTTATCAAATCATAAATTAGTGTATACATTGTATCATTAGTGCTATTGGTTAGTAATATTAACACTTTCACTGTCCGGTTTTCAGACACAATAATAAGACAATAGCAATGACTTATATGTAGTGCACGGGACAGCGAGAGGGTTTAAAAAAGTTTATTGCATTTTTAACAAATACCACGTGTTGCGAAAAGTGTTTCTAAATAATTTCGCACTAATGTGGGAACTACCACTTTTTCTTGTTTTCAAAGAATTGTTGTTTCCTATTTTAACTATTTAATAGTGGATTTGTTGTAAACACGTTATTAAATCAGTACGTAATGACTGCAAAACTTCGAGTTTAAACTTTAAATGTACGTAATTTTAGGCAAAGTGACAAAACCGTTGCGATGGCAACTCGTAACGCTACCTCGTAATTCCATTGTTCTGTGATTTGTTTGAAAGAAACGAAGAGAATTTTTAGTATAAACATATTATGTGATTCGTAGATAGATAATATTGTGAGGTGTTGTCAGCCACGTGTTTGTATCGAGACACCGCGACGGTTGTCTTAGTAATTCTGGTGCCAAATAGCTTTAAGGTGATAGCGTTTTGTTGCCATATAATGTTACACAGCAATTAGAGGCGCTTCAACGCTTTTATAACTTCTATTTAATATTAATGTCTGTTATTCTAGTTCTACTTATATTTCTATATTTTATTAACAACTACTGCGATAAAGGTTTGTAATATTTATTGTCGAACTAACGTTTTACGTATTTCATATTAAATCCACGTTGAAGCGTCTCTAGGTGCAGCGGGTGTCGAGTAGACAATAAGGTGCGCGGGGGATGGGGGGGTCCCTTCCCCCGACCTAGACAATAAGTGAGACGCACACGCGTTGTTACGTCACGTAACTTAGCACGTAAGACTTTGGAAGCAATAAAATAATATTTTTATAAACTATTGTGTTATATTTTACCCTTATACTTCAAGGAATACACGTTATGCCACGTGCCTTCCAGCTACCATTATTGTATCTCGGTCATTTTCATCATCATCATTAGAGCCCTTCACAAGTCCGCTGCTGAACATAGACCTTCCCCAAGGAAAGCCACAAAGCACGGTCTTGAGCCACCTGCATCCATCGACTTCCTGCATGTCTTATCAGGCCGGCATTCTATCTAGTGGGGGGTCGCCCAACACTTCACGTACTAGTATGAGGCTGCCACTCGAGAACCTTTCTTTCTCATCATACGACCAAGTCTCAGATCCATAAGTGATCACTGGCAAAACGCACTGGTTGTACAATCTCGTTTTCATGTTTTAAGGTATAGCTCACGAGAAGATGTGTCGTAATTTTCAGAACTTTAGAGATATCCTCATACATTTCTTAGGGACATATCGCCCTCCCGGTGATAGAACAAGTTGCCGGATTCGGGGATTACCGCGTCTTCTAATAAGTCCTCAGGTTGAATACGTTAAATTTTGTCAGGTTGAGTCGTCTGCAATCAAAGGTGCGAGCTTGCGAGCGGGTTTTTATTGTACTATTGCCGTTATCAGAAAGATGCTACTGCTCATCTCCTGCCTGTTTCCCTCCGTCGTCTCTTACGACATTCACGGGAAGGTATGCAGTGGTTCATGGGCGACGGTAGTCACTTACTATCCGATGAGCCACATGTTCGTTTTCCTACACTCCTATAAAAAAAATGGGGTAGTGGATATTCTTAACCGCCACTGCATTGCTATCACGGGTATTTCGGTAGTCGCTGTTATTTCTGTTGTAATAATCATGACTTTAACCTGATCCAGTCGCCAGGATTGTCAACTCATAATGAAAAATCAACAATTCCTACGAATTTTAGTCAAAATTTAAGGTCTTGTACCATTTATCTACGCATACAACACGCTCGTCGGTTAAGAGTTTTCTTCATTTGGTCAATATATATACTGCAATCTGGTCGATAAACTTCCGTGTAAGACATATTTTGCCGACTGTCACTCACTTCTTTAGTAAAAGTTCACCATTGTCATCAGCATTACGGCCTATCGTAAGTCCTCTGTTGAACATAGGCCCCCAAGGAATATCCCACAAGGTATGGGACTCTATGCCACATACAGCTATTGACTTCTGCATCGCTTACCAGATCGTCACTCCATTTAGTGGGATGTTTGTGTTATACTTCGCTTGGCGATACGAGGCTGCCACTGGGGAACCTCTCTTTGTGCGTACACATAATGCTATCCCAATCTTTACAACGTTGTCGACTTGCTGACGAGAACAAGCTGCATTTGAGGATTGCCTGGTCCTCTGGTACCTCTTCGAACTTCACATAATTCTGTCCCAGTGCAACTTGTCTTTTTTATAGAATACGGGTGACGAGAGAGCACACAGTCTACCTGATGGTAAGCGGATACTGTGGCCCATAGACATCTACATTTATCCTCGATTAAGAATCAAAAAGCAAATCCGTTGTAAACCCTGAGGACTAAGATGGAATGCTTCGTTTCCAGTAAAACGGTGTCCTGTTTTCTACACTCACCATGCGAAACACAGCAGCATAAAGCTGCTATTTTACGCTGATATTCTGTGCGAGCGTGGTCCTTTCCCGGTCGAGCCGACCCATTCGTGCTACAACATTAATACAGCGGCAGCATGGCTCTACCACGTATTCGTTTATATTTGTCTCTTCAATCTTCGGGGTGCGTGTGTTAAATGTTCTCGGTCGAATCGACGAAGATTATACCAGACTCTCCACCGGATATTCTTAGTTCTTGCCATCGTTTTTTTCTGTCCTTGCTCATAGGGAGATGTCTGCTAAAGTTTTCGAGCTTGGCATTTAGGTTGGCAACCACAATTCTTATACCTATTATTTCATTTTCTAGAAGAAATTAGGAAGATGCTGCTGTCCATGTTCTAGTTAGTATTCATTTGTTGCCTCTTACGACACCCACGGGCCGAAATTGTATAGAGTCCATTGTATATATTAGCTAGAAGCTGAAAATTCGAAAAAGAAAGGCATTTTAATTTCATTTTTATGTAGAGATAATATACCTATTTAGAAATTACTCGTAAATAAACATCAGATATCAACTATTCCAAATTCTGCTTACATTTTTGGAAATTACTCACATAAAAGTATAATCGAGATAACGAACAATAGGTCGGCTGTTGATTCAGAGTAAACGACGTACGATACTGATAGGGTAGATAAGATACGGGTTCAGCGGTGGGTCCTCGTTCTGTTCGCAGTGTTGAGTGTCGCGCCGTGAGACATGTGGCCCTGAGCTGCATCGCGGATATCGCGGATGGTTAGTTCCAGTTACGACGTGACGACTACGTGACGACGACGAGGCGACTACTTGACGAATACGCGACGGTGAAGCGGCGGCATGGCGCGGTGCGCTCGCGCCCTGCCCGCGCTCTTTCTACAACTTAACCTAATGCTCATGGTGCGTGCTCGGTGTAGTGTGTACAAGTGGGCCCCTGCAAAATGTGCTAACTATAATTAAAACGAGACGTTCGATTGGGCTACAATTCGTAGTACATAGATCTCTGTTCCGGCAGCAATGATATCTATTGTTTTGTTGCTTCTTTATATTTGTCGCAAGTCTTGAGGTATAAAGTTATCCTAAATGTTTTAAAAGGTAACGTAGTGAATGTTTAAAAAAATATAAGACAAGCAGTTGTCATTGTCGAGTAAATAAACACAATTTCATAGAAGGCAACACTGTAACTTAATTGTTTTCTTAAGTACTAGAGTGCTAGGTCACTGGCCAGCTGATGGTTAGTGACTACTGTAATCCAAGAACGCCCGCAACCAATTTTCAATAAGACGGCTCTCTGGCCCTTCAAATTGGAAGGTGAGGGGGGGGGGGGGGGGTGGACTGCTGCTTGGTGGCATAGGTAAGTGGCATAAAGCACTACACAGATAGCGGGAAGGAAAGAAACCACCCTAAAATCTGTTGCTAAAACTGCAATTGTTTCTTAATTTATTCGAAACTATTTTGAAAGTTATATATTTATCGTTCTTTATTACCCTACTACCAGATTTTTCAATCATTAGATAACAGTTATTCTTAGTATGAAATATAACATTATGCAAATGAAAAATTTGTTTATGATATATGATGCTTTTATTTGACGTTTAGAAAATCAGACGTAAGTTATTTAACACCATTTTACTTATTACTCGTTACGCCTGGACTGCTTTAAGATTTTATTTGTTTTGTCTTGTCTTGAGCGTATACACTGCCCAATATAATCCCGTGGGTTTCGTAAGAGACGACGGAGAAAAAAAGAAACTAGATGGGTAGCAGCATCTTTCTAATAACTAATTTAATATATTGTAATATTGCTGTTGCAAGCCCGCCCGCAGAGCGTGGGAACTATGGCAAATATCCCTTCTTTGAGGCAATTTATAGATTCAGTAGTGGACTTGTGGCAGGCTGTAATGAACGATTGAAAAGAAAACGAGCTTTCAGTACTTCCTCTACCTAGGTACATAGTATTTGAGAGTTTTGCTCTCTGTGTAAGAATTACTTTTACGGAAGTTCTGATGCTCAAAATTATTCTGCGAGTGGCTTCTTATTCTCTTATTCCGGTCATCTGGTTACGGGTAAGAAACCTGTGAACGATCTTTCTACAAACTCGCCTACAGTGAACCTTTATTTTTTAATAGGGTAAACGAGCATGCGGCTCACCTGATGGTAAGTGACTACCGCCGCCCATGAACAACTGCAACACCAGGGGAATTGCAGATGCGTTGCCGGCCTATTAAACAGGAGTAAGCTTTTTTCTTGAAGGTGCCTAAGTCGTATCGGTCCGGAAAAATCGCCGGACTGATACGACTTATGCCGATAGTAAAAAGTTACTTTAGTCCATCGCCAACTTCATACAAAGAAGGCTACATAAGCGCTGTCATCCTTAAGGACTAAATTGGCATCCGTCACAACCTGCATAACTGTACAAATGTATAGTGTACTCTCACTTTATCCTTCAGATCGGAACATAGCAATGCAAACACTAATATTTGGCGGCAGGAACAGGTACGAGGCCGGTACTTACCCGACGGTCTTCTAGGAAGAGAAGAAGTCCTACCACCTAGATATATAATGTACACTTAATTATGTGTATATTGAAGAACTTAGAAACATATTTATTCTTTAAAACTATATTTTGTTTGGTGATGTATGCATTGCAGTTTCTTGAATGACGTGACCCACATTCATTTATAACAATTTGACTCTGTAATCTGTTTGTTTGCTTTATCTTATCGTGTTCTATCTATTCCTAACAGTTTAACTGCAGTCATTTAATTTGTCTAGGAAGCCAAACTGTGTGGTTTCGAATGTTTATTTTTATTAACAAGACTGATTTTACCTTAATCCTGATTTTGTTTACTGATAAGTTTTAGTTTCTATTTTCAAACCTCTTAATGAGTTTCATACAGTTAGAAAATTTCTATTGAACCTAACAAGAAAAATAAAGCATTTGAATTCAATTCATGCAAATGAATTTGAAAGTCAAAAGTCCGCCCGTTTTTTTTTTCATAGAAGAGGGGCAAACGAGCATGCGGCTCACCTGATGGTAAGTGACTACCGCCGCCCATGAACAACCGCAACACCAGGGGAATTGCAGATGCGTTGCCGGCCTTTTAAAAAGGAGTAAGCTCTTTTTTGAAGGTCCTTAAGTCGTATCGGCCCGGAAAGATCGCTGGTGGTACGCGATTCCACAAGGAAGTTGTGCCAAGCAGAAAACATCATCTAAATCGCACAGTGGTGGACCGCCAATCATCCAGGTGGTATGGATGGTATCGCAAGTTTTGTCGGGATGTGCGATGGTGAAATTGAGCGGCTGGAATTAGTCCGAACAATTCCTCAGAGCACTCCCCGTGGTAAATGCGATAAAATACGCAAAGAAATGCAACACAATTAGAAGAATTCAGAAATTAGAAGCTTATTCGCAAGATAATTGTAATACGTACACTTTCCATTGCTCCACGCAGCAGGAGCCACGGAGTATTGACATTCTTACGTCACCTTACTGTTAGAAACCTTTAATGAAACCATTTTAAAGGGAAGTGGACGAGCGTCACCTTTATGCGAGCTTAACATACCCGAGTAGACCATACGCTAAGATCACCATAGTCAACAATTATTAAGTATAATTCAAAAACTATTGGTTAGACCTTGATCAAATGTATATGGGACCACATGAGAAGTACTAGCATTCAAATAAAAAAAGAATCATTGAAATCGGTTCTGCTAGAAAAAAGTTATGAGGTAACACACATGAAAAAGTAGAATTGAGTACCTCCTCCTGTTTAAAGTCGGTAGAAAAGACTTTTAATTTTAATGTGATGTGAAGTAGTAGCGTGGTGTTGCGCAGATGTACGCGGGCGCGGGTCTGGCGACGGCGGCGCGTTTGAAGTGGGACCCTAGCACGTACATCGCGTTGCGCGAGGTGCTGCCCAGCGAGTACCGCGTCGCTGCCGTGCTGCTGGTGGTATGTAGCGCGGTGCTGCTGCTGCAGGGTCACCTGGCGGTGCTCGCGCTGTACGCTCGCCGCGCGCGCTTTTTGCTGCTCATCACGGTTAGTAAACGCAGGCCTCTGCTGGACATGGATCTTTTACAGGTCAATTTGCTGTATCGGATGCATACTCTCTCTATCTCTCATTACGATCTCATATAATACCAGCGTAAAATAGCAGTTTAATTCTGCTGTGTTCCGTATGGTGAGAGTAGAGAACCGAAGATCAATTTTACTCGAAACGAGGCATTCCATCTTAGCCCTTTGGGATGAAAACATATCTGCATTTTGATTTTTAATCGAGGATAATTGTAGATGTCTATGGGCCACAGCATCCGCAGGTGGACTTTGTGCTCGTTTGTTACTCTTATTTTATTAAAAAAACCTGCGTTAAAGTCCACCAACATGCACTAAAGCAGTGCAGCAGAGTAGTAGCTTCTTGCTACATCAGGCATTTAGCACAGGTCTAGTTTCAGTAGTGGGACGGATGTGAGGTGATGTTTTAATGCAATGTTGTACGTTGCAGTACGCGGCGGTGATGGCTGGCACAGTGGGTGGTGAGACCGCGTGGGCGTGGTGGACGGGCGCGCGCGTGGCGGCGTGGGCGCGCACGGCGCAGGCGCACGAGCTGCGGCGCGCGCTGCAGCTGCGGGAACACCTGCTGCCGCTGCTGCAGCACCTCGCGCACTGGCATCCGCTGCCGCAGCACATCCACGACATCCTCAAGGTGCGCACACGCTGCTCTAGTTTCAAGAAGCCACTCGACATCTCTCCACGTCTAGATACACAGAGTAGTCCTCGCACAAAAGGTATTTTGTTGTACTTGTGCTGAATACCGATAAATATTTAGTCGCACTCTCGGAGAGGCCTGCATTGGATTCGTGAGGCTAATAAAGAAGAAGAAAGTTTTTATTTTTTTGATATAAAATAATTGTATCAGAAGAAACATTACGACATCGTGAAAATGTTTTACATTAATAAATTGTTCATGGACTACTTGAGGAATTTACTGTCTATAGTGGTTATAACATCATGCCTTATCCTTTTTACCTCCCATGTTGAGAATAGGGCTAACACCTTTCTTAAAGGCTGTTGCAGATAATTAAATATTGTAGAGTCAAGATACAGCTGTTTTCTTTTTTTGAAGGTTTACTCTTTAGCATAATGTATGGAAAACCAAATCGATTTAATGAACACCTCGGCTTCGTATGGTAGACTAAGTACGAGACGTCTAATTTTCCATCACTTTTTGAGATAATGGCACCTCTATATCTCATTAATGACGCGTATAATGTTACTTTAGGTCTTCTACAGTTCTTGTATTGTTCGGGTAAAACAGTAATTACACATAACGCCACAAAAATAATCAAGGGGCGTTAAATTATAAGATCTTGAAGGCTATGTCTTATCCTCGAATCTTGAGATCAGGAACCGTTGAATTTCTCTTTCAATAAATTGACTGTTTTTCTGGCGGTATGACAGGTGGCGCCATCCTGTTGCAACCAGACGTCTGCCAGATCCATTTCTTCCAATTTCGGCCAAGGGAAATTCCGAATCGTGTGCCGGTAGCAGCGGTAGCAGGTAGACTTCTGATAGGGAGCTTGTATTTCGTGATGCAAAAACGATGTGTAAGGTCAATGTCTGATCTCAAAATAATAGATAGCTGATTTCCTTATTGCATACCTTAGACATAGAAGCTTCAAATTTGGAATACAATTATTGTTTAGTATATAAATCAATAATAAATTAAAATATTTTACAATTTCGGTCCACTTTTCGAGTTACACCAACTGCATAAATAACTTTGTAATCCCATATTAATATATAGGATTACAAAGTTACATTTGCAGTGAATGAATCAGTGTAATATCAATATCAATGTAATAAAATAATAGGTGTAGATAGGTACGTAGATATAACTATCTACAAAAAGAAATGAGATGCCATCAAAAACATAACTTGTAAAAAAAATAAAGTCTCGCAACTCAGTTCTTCTACCATAAAAAGTTGTGAGATCCATGTAATTCCAAGTCGGTTAATTTATTCAGTCCCTACTTAAGGGTCCTTCTGTCTTAAGTTATTACGTAATTAGCTAACCTAACAACATCTTATAGTGACCACATCAATATTAAAAATCTTTTATGTTTTAAATAAATAGATTGACTTGACAATCGCATTAAACAATCTAATTTAATATAAAATGTTACTTGAGAGATACATTGTGTTTTCATACGATGGCCAAGTCAATGTATTTATTTAAAATATAAAAGATTTTTAGTATTGATGTGGTCACTATAAAATGTTATTAAGTTAGCTAATTACGTAATAACTTAAGACAGAAGGACCCTTAAGTAAGGACTGAATAAATTAATTGACTTGGTATTACATGGATCTCACAACTTTTTACGGTAGAAGAACTGAGTTGCGAGACTTGTTTTTTTTTACAAGTTAAGTTTTTGATGGCATCAATTTATTGATCACGGGTGTCATTCTCATGGTTTTCGCGGGTGTTGAAGCCGATAGTGCTGTCGAAATGTAAATCCAAAGTGGCGGCTGCAATGGGTATCAATTTTTTCATCATGGGTGTCATTTTTATGCGTTTCGAGGGTGTTGAAGCCGATAGTGCTGTCGAAATGTAAATCCAAGATGGCGGCTGCAATAGATATGATTTTTTTCATCATGGGTGTCAATTTCATCAAGTTTTCGAGGGTGCTGAATGCGATAGTGTTGTCGAAATGTAAATCCAAGATGGCGGCTGAAGTAGGTACCAATTTTTTCATCATGGGTGCCATTTTCATGGTTTTCGAGGGTGTTGAAGCCGATAGTGCTTGTTACGGCCTACAGCTGCCCCTGCAAATGTCGAATCTCCCGGGGCCCATGAGCGAAAACTTCAACGAGCAGCCGCAGGTTCGAGCCTAAGTGGCTATATGGAAGAATTTCCTGTAATACTAAGCTATATGGAAAATGTTTTATCCTACTACAATTTAATGGGGAGGCTGGTCAAATAGAGATTACTTACCTGTATATGAGGCGACTGCTGTCTCAGGGCTCGGTCAGGCCGGAGGTGTGAATGTGTGGAGTATAGTGATGTTTTTGTGGTGTTGGTTGTTTCCCGGGCGACTTCACGACGTGCTCTCGACAGCACGTATTCTAGCAACCGTTCGACTCGACCCAGCTGCCGGTAGCAACCAACTGACTGCAATCTCCGGACGCGGGCCGCTGGCAACAAAACTCCCGTTACCGCCCACACGTCTAACCGGTTATGAACGCGCTGTATCGAGCCGAGCGCCCTCCGGCGTCAAGTCTTGAAACCAACGTTTGGGCGTGAACAGTGCTGTCGAAAGGTAAATCCAGGATGGCGGCTGAACAAATTACCAATTTTTTCATCATGGGTGTCATTTTCATGGTTTTCGGGGGTGTTGAAGCCGATAGTGCCGTCGAAATGTAAATCCAAGATGGCAACTGCAATAGGTATCAATTTTTTCATCATGGGTGTCATTCTCATGGTTTTCGCGGGTGTTGAAGCCGATAGTGCTGTCGAAATGTAAGTCCAAGATGGCGGCTGCAATAGTTATCAATTTTTTCATCTTGGGTGTCATTTTCATTGTTTTCGAGGGTGTTGAAGCCCATAGTGCTGTCGAAATGTAAATCCAAGATGGCGGCTGCAATAGTTATCAATTTTTTCATCATGGGTGTCATTTTCATGGTTTTCAAGGGTGCTGATGCTGATAGTGCAGTCGAAATGTAAATTCAAGGTGACGGCTACAATAGATATCAAGTTTTTCATCTTGGGTGTCATTTTCATGGTTTTAGAGGGTGTTGAATCCGATAGTGCTGTCGAAATGTAAATCCAAGATGGCCGCTGAAGTAGGTACCAATTTTTTCATCTTGGGTGTCATTTTCATGGTTTTCGAGGGTGTTGAAGCCGATAGTGCTGTCGAAATGTATTTAAAATACTTTAAAAATTCCGTACAATCACGTTATACGTAATTTTTTTAATGCGCTTAAGGTATGCCCAATTGGATTTACCAATATATTTTAAATCTTTAAAAATCCTAACATTGCCATCATTGTATATTCTGGAAACAGCTGTTTTTGTAAAAAAAGAATCAAATTATTTTTCATAAATTATCTGCTATTAGAAAGAATCCAATACGCACCACTACGTTATTTACGTAGTGGTGCGTATTGTTATGTTACATAAAATGTAAAACATCACTAATGAAAAAAATGATTTTTTGGTATTTATAATAAACTACCTGATCCAATAAAAAATATAACCTTATTAAAATTTAAAAAGGTGCTAAATGAATTATTCATAGACAAAGTTATTATAAAAGTGATGAGCTCTTGGACAATTTTGACTAATTATATTGACTTTTATTATTTTTGTTCTTGTCATCATATTAATGTAGAATTTTAATTAGTATTCCAATTTCATTAATTATTATTTTATTTTATTTTATTGTGTGATTTTCAAAAGAAAACACAATTATAATTGTATTTCTTTAAGACAAAAGATAACGTACTATATTAATTGTAACCGACGCAAGATATTAAATGTTTAAACCTAACTATCTTTGACAAATAAATTATTCTGATTCAGGTAACTCCGACAGTTATGGCAACACCGAGCTCGTTCTTTTTTTTATAAGATAGGGTGACAAACGAGCTCACAGTCCAATGGTAAGTGGTTGCTGTGGCCCATAGACATCTACATTTATCCTCGTTTGCGAATCAAAATGCAGATGCGTTGTCACCCGTGAGGACTAAGATGGAATGCCTCTTTTCCAGTAAAAAGGGTCTCCGGTTCTCTACACTCACCATACGAAACACAGCAGTGTTAAGCTGCTATTTTACGTTGGTATTCTGTGAGAGCGTGGTCCTTCCTCGGTCGAGCCGACCCATTCGTGCTACAACTATACTACTAATATAACTGCAGCATGGCTCTACCAACAATAATTCGTTCTCAAAAAAAGGACATTGGTCCTTATGTCTTTAACCCGAACTGCGCACCAGACAGTCATTCTTTCAAAGTCGTTGCGCCAAAAATGAGTTTCATCGCTTAAGATTATTTTCTGCAAAAAAATTGGGATCGTCCTGAAGTTATACTGTAAAACCCTATTAGCGAAATTTCTTCGCTGGAATGGTCAGTAACCTTTAGTTTTTGTGTCAGCTAATTTTTTTAAAGGTGTAAACATAAAGGTTTTTGCAGAATTCGTCAAGTTAAAGTTTTACACAGGCTAACTTGATTTAAACGTCGTGGAATTGACAAGTTCGAGATTTCTTTCACACTTTCAGCCACCAATTCGATATTCGGTGGTTCGCATATTTCGACGACAGGTCTATCACCGATCCAGTGGTTTTGCAAAAATCTGAATTGCCGTATGTCACAGTCTGTTTTGCCGTATTTTAAGGGAAAATTTACTGAATAGCCGTATTTTTAATAATTTATTTTAAAAATATCTATTTCTCATTTGTTTCTTCTCCGTAAAGGTTCTTATCATTTTTGTCCCTCAGATTCATGTTTATCTAGTAAGTATTTGTCTTTGCTTTTAATTTTTTACAAACTACTTTAAATATTTTATTTCCATATTTTTTGTTTTTCATCAATTTGTTGTGGCTTTTATTTGAATGGTAAATGTTAAATATAGTAAAAAGTTTCCTTTTTATTAAATAATCTAATAGTAATTTTTCCCATGACATAAACAATCTTGCACACGGTTTAATAATACGAGTATAATATCACTATCAATGTTTATTTCGAAATCAAAATATTCGCAAATTTTTTGCTCAAGCAATTCAACAAATGCGATATACTTTTTGAGGAGTACGTATGTATGTATGAGATATCTATCTACGAGATTAAAAATAATCAATTATAATCAATTACCAATTACATTGGACAAATAGTGTACCTATCATACCCAGCGCAGTTGTATGAGGCTTGGCCTCTGTTCCGTTTCACCTGTGAAAAAACATTTCGTTTCACCTTATGGCCAATTCCGTATTTGTGTTTCGGCAATAATATGCCTGCCGTATGCCGTATTTTCTGATAGATATAATTACCTAATTAACAAACTTTAACGAGTATTTTGTGTTACACTGGGATCTATAATAGTTACTTTATTTCATTGTGGTGAGTCCTAGTGTTGCCTAAACCGATAATTTCTCTTCTTAAGATCGAAGAAGATGATGCACTGTGAGTCACAGTGCATCATCTTCTTTGATCTTAAGAAGAGAAGTTCATAAAATTAATTTTATGTAAGTAATGAATGATATACACAATCTATGCTATTCAAACGTCATTGATGAATAATTGAAATGTTTCCCTGTAATACAAAAGTTTCACTTATATCGTGTGTCTTCACGACACTCACTGATTTTTTACTATGTGATAGTGTCATCTTTAGGACGATTATGTTAACTATCAGTTTCTCGTAACACACGAAATATTTGACGAATTGAACTGTCTTTTTGATAATACACTTCAACCAATTTTACGCGCTGTTCAACTGTATAGCGATTAGCGACTCATCTTGATAAATGCCCAACTCATCTGTCAAAAATTACATGGCCGTCATCGGCTTTCAAAGATATCTTGTCCCTACTGAAAGAACCTGTAGTAATAACTTCCCTTGCGCTGCTATCTTCCAAATATTGGTGAATTGTCGTGATCATAATGAGCACAGTGCACTGTCACTGAGGCTGGCGTGGTGCGGCGATCCAGTACCCTTCAATAATAAAATAACACTTATACACAGGAGGTGGAGGCGGACGTCCCTCGCAACGTGTACGTGGCGCTGGTAGCGGGCGCCCTGCTGGCGCTGCTGAGTAACAGTATCCACTTACCATCAGGTGGACTGTGTGCTCGTTTGTCATCTTTATTCTATAAAAGACAAAGTCCACAGAGTGCGGTGATTCCGTACTGTTAGATGATAACCCTGGGCATTTGTACACAGGAGGCGGAGGCGGACTTGCCTCGCAACTCGTACGTGGCGGTGGCAGCGGGCGGCCTGCTGGCGCTGCTGCAGCCCGCCGCCGCCGCGCTGGCGCTGCTGCTCGCCGCGCGCGCGCGACACCCGCCCAGGGGCGGCACTTACACGTGCGCATACTTATCCTTACCGTTACAGTTGCAGCTCGTATAGTACGTTGTAGCAAGAAGGGCTCGGTTCGACTGAGGTAGGACCACACTCACACAAAACAACAGCGTCAAAAAGCAGCTTAATGCTACTGTGTTTCGTATGGCGAGTGTAGAGAACCGGTGACCCTTTTCACTGGAAAAAAGGCATTGACAGCAACAACGCATTTGCATATTGGTTGTTAATCGAGAATAGAATGTAGATATCTATGGGCTACAGTATCCATTTACTATCAGGTGGACTGTGCGCTCGTTTGTCACTCTCATTCTATTAAAAAGCCTCTTAAAGTTCACTGCTGAACATAAGCCTCTCCCATAGATTGCCTCATAGGGGTGAATATTTGTGATAGTTGCCACGCTTGGCAATTGGGTTGGCCACCGCAATTTGTTTAATTTTTAGTCGTTCTTACCTGTTACGACTTACGACACCCACAGTATGTAATCATCTTTACTGTTATGTATTTTTTTTAATTATAAGCCAGTGTTTGATCACAATCCCACCTTGTGGTATATGGTATGGTTCTAGATGGTACATCGCACTGTCTTAGCGTATACTTAACTTCGATAAGTATTGATAGGCCCAGCGATGCTGGCACGTTTTAAAAATAATATCCTTCTGACCGAATTTCGGTCACGGCGGCCAGTTTCAACGGAGACTAGCCGTCTACATAAGACAGGATTATAGTGCCCGAGTGTACGCAGAAGCACATGGGCTCTCGGTAATTCATCATCATAAAGAGATCAGATGCAGGATGCACGACTTTACGTGCTCTCCGAGGCTGGGGGGTGAAAAACTGCTATGGACTATTTCTTGACAGTTGACAGTTCCGCCCGGGATTCAAACCTGGGACCTCATGATCAGCAACAGCGTTTAGAACTACATACAACAACGGGGCAGTCAACGTAACAGCTAGTATAAACGTATATAATACAAATAACCTGCGTAGAAAGTATCCTATTTGATGTCGGCACTTTGGACATAATAACAAGAACTAACATGGGCTAGCTAAAAAAATATAAAGTGCTTATTTGGGATGCGGGGCCATTTCTGTTAGCCTTCGTAGGCGTTTACCACGTCGAAAAACTTAATTGTCGAATTCTAGACCACGGGCCACTCTCTTAGTTGGAAAGATATTACGTAATCAAGATTTAATTTTTTCCGTAATTAAGAGAAGAGACCGTAGTAAGTAAATCGATCAGTTCTATACACCGCTTTAGTGTTATGTACTCGTATTTATTGTATTTTGGCCCGAAGAATATTTATGGCCACTATAGTATCTTTTTTTGTTTTCAAATTGTAAGGGATTCCATGTAGATAATGCATCTATTTGAGAAATTGATTGGTGGTATCCATGGGCACGTACCATGGGGTGAGCTGTTGGCTCCTCAGTCACACTTAAGTTGTAACAAGATTCTATTTAAAGTGTTACTTTACGCAGTAAATATTAGTGCAATTTCATTCATATTGTGTTTCAGCGAGGAGAGCGAGACGCGACCTTTGCGGGCCGTGTACAAACAGGGACGTCTCGTGATGCTGTAAAGATGGAGAGACAACTGCTGGGGCCTGCTCGCGCTTCCAGGCTTTCCAGCTTCATAGACTGTTAACGTGCTAAACTAAAAAATTTTATTTTTGTGTTTTGTTTAATATCCTTTGCTGAACTATGTGATTTTTGACAAGTTTTAATTTATGTATACTCTGTTTTGATTAAAGAAAAGTTCTGATAATGCTTGTGTACACATAAGTTATTATGGATTTTACGTTAGTTGATGTACTTAAAAAAATATTAGTTTTTAAACTTTAGATTACATTAATATTAGATTTCACTCTTAGGTAACACTTTTAGATTTACAATATAACTTCTGAAGTCTTAGTGAGTGTGTGAAATATTATCATAAAATATGTGTTAATATGTGGTGGTGTAGTAAGACAAGATATCACTCAGTTTAGACCGTCTGATGTCGAAGGTCTGATGGTTTCCAATTAACGATGGTACACCTATTTTGTCTACGACAGATATAAAGCACTCAGAGCGGCGATAGGAAGTAGAGTCTAAAGTGTGAGATGTCTGCTACCGCGATCGTCAGCCTAGTGTGGCGATTATGGCAAAGCATTGACATGTACCTATACATATGAGTAACTTTCAGGTTTAGCCATTATTGTTAAAACATGATCCAGTCATCCACCCATTGCAACCCATTCAAGTCCACTGCTGAACATAGATGTCCTCTTAGACTGCTCATGCAGAGGATTTTGGCATAGTTGCCACGCTTGGTAGGCGAGCTGGCAGCCGCAGTTCTCTTTGTAATTGGAGTTGTTATCAGAAAGATCTGTTGCCCATCCTTCCATCATTGTTTCATCTCCCCTCTGTTGCCTCTTTGGATATCCATGGGATGACAAGGGGCAGTGGATATTCTTACACCGCCACTATACGGCCACATAATACATGAAAAACTAATGGAAAGGCTTAAATGAAAAATATTTAGGTGGCCGACATTCCGTCAATGCGTATTTACTTACTCTGTGATACCGTCAGAAGTTTCTTTTATTACCACCGCATAATATCAACAACAACAGAACAAAGAAAATTGCACGTGCGTTGCCGGCCTTTTAAAAAGGAGAAGTTTCTTGAAGGGGATCTATGTTGTATAATTCGTATCTCATATTTGTTTTTATTTAATTTGTATAATGTGATATTATAATATATTGTACAATGAAGCAATGAGGACATTTTTTGCCACCAGGGCGGTGCTACTTTGAATGATATTTGACAGATTTCATAGCGGGCATTAATTTGTTACCAAAGATTAATGTTTCTTTCTGAAATATTAGTTATAATTTATATTAATTAAATTAGTAGTAGAAAAATTAAAAAGAGAGTTAAAAATATCTAAAAAATTAAAGAGCAAACCACTTCCAGAAACAAAAGAACATTTATTTAAAAACTAATTTTTAATAATTAAATGGCATAGCACTCATTCGCTTATATACTTACACGTAGTATATTATTTATTGTGTACTTATACTTTGGACCACATTTTGGATAACATCTAAAACATCTACTAATTGTTCCAGGACTGAATGTCGTAAAAGCATAATGAGCTATTCTGTATTTCTTTCACTTTGTTTTCAACCGACTTCAAAAATGAGGAGGTTCTCAATTAATCAAAATCTTTTTTTTATGTATGTTTACCGATTACTCGAAGACGCCTGAACCGATTTCAATGATTCTTTTTATTTGAAAGCTGGTGCTTTTCAAGTGATCCCTTATAAATTGGATCAAGGTCTGATAAGTAGTTTTTGAGCTGTTCTTAATAATTTATATTGAAGTCGGTTGTACAACATTTTTAATTTTAGCACTTGTATTAAAACGCTATTACGTCACTTTAAAATGTAACTTTTGCTGTTCCGATTTACGATACATTTATTAATGTTGCTTTACTTTAATCTTTATATAATAGTGGTTTATTTTTAATTTCATGCTTAATTTGTTCTTATTTCTAATCTCTTCGTACCTTTTCGTCGTGGTAGTGCCGTGCAAAGCTGTATTATAGTTGTGGCACAAAAGGGTGTGCTAGATCAGGGAAGGACCGCGCTCTCACAGAATACCATCGTAAAATAGCAGCTTAATGCCGTTGTGTTTCGTATGGTGAGTGTAGCGAATCGGCTCGAGGCAATCGAAACGAGACATTCCATCTTAGTCCTCAGGGGAGCACATGCATTTTGATTATTAATCGAGGATAGATGAATACGTCCATGGGCCACAGCATCCACTTACCATCAGGTGGACTGTGTCCTCGTTTGTCACGCTTATTATAAAAAGAACACAATGTTATAACAGGTGTTTTGTAGTTATAATTCTTATAATAATAGTAGGGGATACAATATTAATATAATAGAATACAACATTAATAGAATAAGATATACAATCTATACATATAATAAAAATGTAAATAGCAGATGTCTGTACATTTTAGATTTATATAATAAAAGTGATTGAGAGGTACTAAAAATAAGTAATTAAATACATTTCTACCATTTTTAGAATTTTCTCTGTCTGTCTGTCTGTTTGTTTGTTAACATATCACGTATATAGTACCAATTTATATCACAGGAATTGTTAAAGAAATTATAAAGTGTATCTTCAGGTTACATTTAGTCTTTATTTCATTAAAATTAGTTCATTCCATCAAAAGTTATGATAAATATTCTGAAGTATGGCTACGAAGTATAGGTACGAATTTGTTCAATGGTGGCGTTCGTTGAGTTATCAAGTACATTTTAAACTAATATCATATTATAAATCATAATTAAATGATATAAAATAATGTTCTATAATGATATAATTATACCTAAAACACAGTAAACAAAAGTATTACATAAAGAACGTAACAAATATATACAAAAATATATTAACCTTAATCTAAATCTATAGCACAGAATAAATAATAGTCTATAGCACAATAGTTAACCAATTTCATCGATAGATGGTGATGTTGCACAAATGTGATACAAAAAGGTAGGTTAAGGTTTTTCCCTGTAGATGTGTCTCACATTTGCTTCTAATCTTTATATTACACGCTGCCCTACTGCGTGTTGACAATCTCATTTATTTTTTACCGCCGAGTACTTACTCTATGTGGTAAATCAAATTTCAATTTCGATAAATCGAAATATTAACAAATTCGTTAATAGCTCCATTAACGAAATTGTTAATAGCTCTTATAATATTATATTAATTAGGCATCAGTACCTAATTAATATTATATAATATAACCCCGTTATAAGTTCTTTTATGTTTTTATTGTATCAATAGCGTCAATTAATCTCTTGTTTTTAGAATTGATGTTTACAGCGCCATCTCTCTTTATATCTATACATATAATAAAAATGGTGATAACAACATGTTGTGTCTGTTACTGTACATTGTATAGTATATTAATTTGTGACTAAAATCATTATAGGGACTGAAAATCATTAAATAAGTACATTTTTATAATTTTTAGAAT